GGGGGGGGGGGGGTAGGTCGTGGAGATGACGGTGCTGCCCTTTCCTTTGAACCCACTAGCCCGCTCACTCCACCTCCCTTGAGCGTCATCATACCCATCCTACGTCGTCAACCTCCTGCTCCTCCTGCTCTTCCTCCTCCTCCTCCTCTGACTGACGCGACCCCCCCTCCCCCGCCCCCCTTCCCTCTCCGTCTGTCTCTGGTTGTCGCGGTCGGGGAGCAGGAGGCGGCCGCGGCTGGCGCACACTTGCTTCGCGACTCGACTGCCTTTGCTTCATGTGAGGCAATTTTCCCTCCTCCATTGGAATGAATAGCAGGCGTGAGAGTGCTGCCCCCTTCCCTCCCCACCGCGACAGTTTTACACTAGTTTTATCCCCCCCCCCTCCTCACCCACTGCCACACAACCTCTGGCGAGGCCCCCCGCGGCCTGTCACAAGTCGCTACCCCGCTCATTTGTATTCGGGATGGGCTTCTGGCGCGGCCCGGGCCTGTTTGGCGGTGGCCGGCTCGGCCCTGCCCTGCTCTCGTTCGTCATGCCTATCTACACCTACCAGGCCCGAGGGAAGCGAAGCCTCAACTTCGACGCGGCGTTTTCATACGCTTCTAAAATGTATTCAACTTTCGCACAGTGACGTTACCTGCCAATGCAAGCTCGCGCTGGCTCTCCCCATTCCGCCCAAATCGGCGAAGCTTTGGCGGTTCTGCTCCTAGCCGCCCGCTGCACCGTATCGGGGCCAGAGTTCCGTTGTTTCCTAGTGCTTATCTCCAAAAGTGGGCGAGGACGCAGCAGCAGCTACCGCCTGCTGCTTTTGGCTCGGCAGATTTCGCGTCCAGCTCCATGCAGGAGTCGCGAACAATCTCGTAAAATAATGGCTCGCTGGGTCCCGAGAGGGACGAAAAAAACGGACGACCAAAAAAACGAGTTGTCTGTTCCTGTGCAATTTTCTTGTCTTATTCTCGCTCTGCTGGCGCAAAGGAACGCTAACTACTACTTTCGATGCGCACCGTATCAACGACCTCTCCGCGGCCCGGGCCTGGCACCCCCCCCCCCTTTTCCCCTTCTTTCCACAAACCCCCGCCCTCTGGTGGGTGACCGCGAAGATTCTGGCCGGAATCGCACGCCAATCGCCTGGCTGTCCCCTCCTTCTGTGGATGCCTAGACCCGCCCCTACCCGGCGCAGGTATGGTATACAGTGTGCAGGCGTAGGCGTGGCGCGGCGTGCGCTGCGTGGTGTTCGTGAGGTGACACCCACTGGCCTGCACAGCTCAAGGCGCCGGGGCCTGAACACTCACCTGAACAGCGGCAGCCCCTGGTGGTCGCCCTTGGTGGAGAAGGACAGCCCCGCCAGCGGCTGCAGGTGCCGGTGCAGGTGGCCGAAGACGCCCGTGGAGGCGGCGCTCTTGGTGGAGTCCACGACGCTTGGCGGCGCCGTGGAGCCGAGGAGGCCGTGCGCCAGCCCGTGGTGGCCGTGGTGCCCGTTGTGGTGGTGATGTTGGTGATGGTGGTGGCCGAGGCCGGAGGCCACGCTGGCCCCGGGCCCGCCGCCCGCCGCCCCCAGCAGCGCCTCCCAGGCCGCGTCCTCCGTCGCGTCCGCGTCCATCCTCGGCGGGCGCCGCTCAGGCCCCGCGGGGCAGCGTGCGTCAGGACAGCGGGGTGCCGCGGGGGTGCCGCTCGAGCCCCGCGGGCCGGGGCTGCTGCGCGCACAAGAGCCCCACCGTCATGCTGGCCTGCAACACAAAAGCACAGGGTCACGCAGTGACATCACCGCACCAGGACACCCGTCATCGCGGACTCGGAATTTTCCTCGTTTTGGCGCGTCAACGTGTGTCGTCTCGCTGAATGGCGCCGGGACGCGCTGCGTTCACAAACACCTGCTCGGCAGCCGCCGGGCCGTGGGACCCGCGGGGCAAGGGGCGCCGGCGCGGCACGTGGCACGCGCTATGGTCTCTCTCTGTCTCTCTCTGTCTCTCTGTGTCTCCCTCTATCTTTCTCTGCCTCTCTCTGTCCCTCCCCGTCTCTCTCTCTATCCCTCTCTGTCACTCTCTGTCTCTCTGATTTTCCGTCTCTCTCTGTCTCTCTGATTTTCTGTCTCTCTCTGTCTCTCTCTCTGTCTCCCTCTCTCTTTCTCTCGCACTCATGTCATTCACGGAGAGCGACAAGGACACAGTGCGGTGCCCCGGACGCGGCCCGCGGTGAGTCACAGCCCGCGCCGGACGCCGCCGAGCAGTGCCCCGCCGCGGAGCTCCTAGAGACGCGCGCCTTGCCCAACCTGCTGAGAGCCCGCTCCCTCGAGCACCACCGACGAGCAGCCACCAACCACCACGCGGAGCCGCCGCCGCGAAGCATGAATGGGACTACTATATCGAGAATACGATCGCGATCCGTCCGCGCGCGCTCAGGAGGATGTTGTGTCCGGTTTTGAAACGAGCGTTCCGGACGCTCGGACGCCTGTCACCGCGATTTACGACGACCCCCTCCTTTCGCGAGCTGCGTTCGGGAGTATGGCGGGCTGTTTCCGTCTTTGTCTTCCGCCCGCTCGGCGGCCGCAGTGGGTGCGAGAGGGAGAGAGAGAGTAAGTGTGTGCCGGCGTCCTCGCCGCGGGGATAATCCCTTTTCAATATTCCCACGGCTCGGCTGGCACTGCACACAACACAACGCGCCCCGAGCGGCGCGTCCCCGACCTCGAAGGTGCCAGTAGGGGAAGAAGTCCTCGTGCGTTACTGTTCGAGGAGGTGAGGTTAGAGGTTTAGATTAGAAGCTTTGATTTGTAGGCAGCTAATACCAGGAAAAGGTCCGTATAAACGTAGCAGGAAGAATATTTTTGTGTTTTTATTGCAAACCTTTCTCGGAAGAGGGAAGAGTAAGGAGGGTGGAGGGGGCATATTTTCTTCAGGTAGAGACAGTCTTGGGGACTGTGTCTATTCACCGAAATAAAGCCCGCTGGACGCGTGCACGACAGTCTGTCGCGCGAGCGGGGTGGAGTTATCGCATTGCGTCGTTCTAATTTGCCAGAGAGGCAAAAGGAATCCCTGATCGGGTCGCTCGGCACCCGTCCCCCGCCGCGCCCCGCGCCGCGACCAGCTGGCACGACTTTGGCATTACGCTGCAAGGTGATACCCCAGTGTCGGTTTCTGTGGTCAACAAACTCGTAACGTGCGGTCTGAGCGGGTCCGAGTGTCTGTGTCGAAGGGGACAAGAGGTGAGTGGGGAGGGAGGGGGGATCAACCCCCGGTCTGCTTGTACGAGGAACTACTGCAGTCGCACCCCTATGACCCCCCCTTTTCCCGGAGTCGCTGGAATGGGTTTCCTCCAGCGCCCCTGTCCCGAACGACCTCCGGAACATCCGGTTGAGTCACCAATATCTTGGTGTTTTCACTGCCTTCTTATGATCTGTCTTAGTCTCTTGGAGGCGTAATAAAGCGACCTTTACCAAAAGTCTCTTCACGGATGTCCAGGATCTCACCTCCGAAAGTGTCTTCGCATATTGGAGATCGCAACCCCCTGCCGCGCGTCCAGGTAGGCGCCAGGGTCAGGCTGCCTCCGAAAACAAATCGCCCTGTCTTCCCCGCACCTATACAAGCACGGCGCGGCCGGGGTCTCGGCAGGAGCGCCTCGGACACGGCCTAAAACTACTCCGGAATGGGAATCGCCGCATTTTCTCGGGTTCGTGAAAATGTACAGATTAGCATGTCTCTTGACCTTTGTGGTCGAGCAGGCCGACGGTCGGATACCTCCACCCGCCCCCACCTCAACCTGCCAGGATGGTGCTCGGCTGGGACTGGACCGATTCCCGGTCCCGCGGTCGATCACAAATGTGCAGAAGGCGGCGGGCCGGCCGGCATCGCTGTTTCGCGCGCGAAGTTCGAAATGAGTCAGCTGTTTTTGTTGCGTAACGAAAGGGGATAATGCGGCGCACCGGCCAATGCGACGCTATTGTTGCACTAATTTCGAAAAACAAAATGTTTTCGTAGAGCGATAAAAACTGACGGAATAAAAAAAAAAAGTGTAATCACGATGATACCCCCCTGCTTCACTAACCACAAAACTATTGTACAGAGCGTTAATCAAATGGTTGCGTGGGAGCATCAAGGTTTCCTCGTCACTTTCTGTGAATGCGAACAACTCTGTGTCATCTAGGTTCTCTGTCGGCGGCGTTCCGCAGAAGAAGCCTCGCGGCACATCCTCTCGTCACCGTGGTGCGTGAAACGACCTTACCCCGCCCCGCCGCGCCCCGCCCCGCC